AAGCAAAATCAAGACAAATTTTGATATTGAATAAGTTTGAAAGATAACTTCGGGGAAATGGCCATGTTCTAAGTCAGATAGACCATGGGCTTGGGCTCGTTTACTGGGATATAGTGTTGCCCACCCACTCGGGGACTGCCTGACACCCTCGGCTATCGCCTCGGGAGTCAGGCAGTCCCCTTGTGGGCGGAGCAACACTATATCCCAGTAAACTCGCCTGGCCCATGGTCTATCTATTACTTAGCGTAAATCTATTTAGTTGGGATTTACGGTTGGTGATATTCAAGATGGTGACAACAAACTCTAAAAACACAATCATCAAAAATCCAAAAATGTCGGTTATTTTTAACTATTTTTGTGTTGTAAAATCAAGAATGAAATACAAGTGATAACTGATATTCTTATGGTTTTAAAATAAATCAAAGTAATTTTTCGTAAATTGAATAAAACATTTACCATTTTTAAGACTTCTACACATTTAGTGAAAGAAACAAAATTAAGCACAAGTCTACAATTGACGCACATTACGATATTTTACTTTGGCATCAGGGAGCAGGAGCCAAAAATATATGTTTTTTTATTTCATTGGTGAAAATACCCCCCCCCCTACATTACTGAAGGAAATTATTGGCCATCCTCCCCCAAACTGAATTGCAGATCACCTGGCTTTAATATCTCTGCATTTGTACATTTTTATCAACCTACGAAGACTGTGTAGATTATTTCATTTGCCAATATGCTGACTTAAGGAAATTTAAAACGAACTGCAAACTCTAATTACTCTCCATCCGAAAAAAAAGCTACAGTGAGCACATGTTTACAAGTTTACAGAATATTTCGATTATGATATCATGGAGCAAGAGCCCAAGATTTGTATTTCATATTTTTGTCAACGTACCAAGACTGGAGATGCGGTTGTCATCAAGATATAGATTGGAGACCAATGGGAGACCTCGGAAAGCTCCTGGCTGGACCCTGGAAACGTTGGACTCTCGGATTTGGAGCATCCATACGTCTGGGCTGTTGGGGAAAGACCCCTTTAAAATCACCGGAGAACGGAGATGTTTGATGAAGATCGAGACGGTGGCTTTGTCGAAGTCGGTTGGTATGGTGTCGAGACATTCGGGGAAGCTGTACTTCCCCCCGTATCCAATCCAACTGCACGAAGATCCCCCCCGAATTCTATATGGGCAGCGGCAGATGACGCGTTTTTCATGGGTGGTGCAGCGACAGTTGTCCGGGCCCCGTGAAGCTGGTGCGGATATGAGAAGTAGATGATTGGAAATCACTAGTAGTAAGCAGAGCAGCGCCATGTTTCGAACCATCGCAGTCGCGGATTTGTATGTCCTTCGCTGCAATACGTATTGGGCGTTTTGTTAATGCGCCCAGCCTGATTGTCTACTGTGTTGGATTAAGCATGCAATATCCTTGAATTAATCTTTAATATTCAACACTTCGGCAAAGCACTGGGAAATTAATCAGACCACTTATAGATTGTGTCTCTTTGATCCTAGCTCTCAGTGATTGAGAGTATGCCATACATGTACTGATGAAAAAATACTGAAAGTTGAAAGGAATTCTTCCTCCATCTTGCCTATAGGAGACTCATTTCCAGTCATATTGTACCTAACATTATTTGCTCAATGTTTGGTTAGAAATTACTAGAAGCATACTACTTTGTTTTTATGGTAAGACAAAAGAATTAAAGTTTAAACTTTAGTTAGTACTTAGTTAGTTAGTACTTATAAATTTATTTAGCAGGAGATTGAAGATAGGAAACAAGAGAACCTTTACTGGAACCTTTCCAGAACCTCTATCATTTCTGTCAGTCTTCTCTTAATCTATGCATGTGGAAATAACTAAGGACACACACAAGCAAACACACCATCAGACACAGGTAAAACAAAACCTCCATATACAAACTTCCCCATGTCTCAATGTCTAAAGCGAAAAGGGTGTTTTATCCCTCTGAAAAAGTGGAAATATTTTTTTTTTTTATTCATAAAAACATAAAGACATAACAAGGACAGTGTGACGCTGCACTCAAGTTAACAACTTATATTAACAGCGCCACACACAAAAAAGGTACAATTAACGTTTAAATATACAAAGTTGACATGTGCGCCGTAGTCCCACCACCCCAAGACATTAAAATATTAAATTAAATGCTAACAGAGCTATTTGAAAGATAAGATTACATGTTTGGCTTTTGGCATGATGTTGCCGTCTTGATTTACACTTTTCTTTATTATGTTTCTTCAGGGTCAGCTGCACTTTTCACTGGGAAAGGAAATAAGTGTAAAGACTGCTGGGTTGAGGTAGCAAATGCTACATCCAAGCTGGTAGCTGATTTGATGACTCCACTGTAGCACAGCAAGCCAAGACATTCCTGCATATAACTGCAAAGGTAAGAATCAACTTTTTATAAAAGTATGTAACATTACATGTATTCTGTGAGAAATACACTCAGGTAAGTTTGGCATTAGAGACACAGTCAAAGGCGTGTGTTTGTGTGTGTGTGTGAGTGTGTGAGTGCGTGTGTGTGTGCATGCGTGTGTGTACATGTGCGTGTGTGTGTGCGTGTGTGTGGAAATGTAATTAATATCAGTATAATTCAAAATTGAACGTGACATTCAATCACTCACTCTTAGTGTGTTCTTAGTTTAGTGAAGTATTGTAAGAGATCCCAAATATGCAAATCACCAGACCGAGTCTGAAATCCTTCTTTTATATCCTGGGTGTAGAATTTCTTGCCTTATTATTCATTCACACAAATAGTCAGAGTCTGTTAAATATGCATGTGCTATTCTTGAAGTCAACCCAAAGTTACAATTTTAAACCAAGTAGCTTCACATTTGATTCATTATTTCTTATGACATTCCCATGTCTAGCAGTCATCAAGTTTTGTACCACTGCAGAATAATTTTCCTCAGTAAAGGTTCTCCATTACATTATACCAATTGATTGTAATATGATTGTTGCAGATTGCATGACGTCAAGATGTTCATGTAGTAGGCATTCGTCAGTCTTAAAAGATGTACTTCATTCTACACCCTATACTTATTCTTAGTTTTGCATTTAAAACGTCTCAGTTCTGAATTTTTTAGATGTTCAAATCATAAATACTTTAGTATACAACATAAAGCAGGTTCCTTCCAGCCTGTGGGGTAGCATAACTATAGTTTAATCAATGAATTTGACAGTGGTTAACTTTATGTAGGAATAGAAGACATGCATCAAGTACCAGATTACACAGTGCCGTCCCAATAAACTACGCTAACATCCGCTTTATCGATCCACGGAACACGGCAAGGCAAGAGTCAATAGATTCAATTTCGATAAACATCGTTTGGGTCAAAAGGTGACCCGAATCTCTAAAACTTTCATTTTCTTTTCCTTTCAAGTTCACTTGGGGAGCAGTACGGGATTGACTTGGGTGGCCATGGGTTCATTGGATGGGGCAGTGCACAGATGCAGTTACAGATAGGAGTAGTGTAATGTGCCGGGGGAGTCAGCTACTTGGAAAATGATGTAATGCCCCAGTAACTAGTACTACTACTAGACTATCTTCTAGTCAGTATGCACACGTACATATGCGTATGCTATATTCTACTTGTAGTCAGTACATACATGTACGCATGGGCCACATCAATTTAATTTCCCGGTTATGGGAATTTTTGCCGGAAAAAATGGAACTAGTAGGCAAAAAGGAAACACTTGAGTGCATTTGCTATACAGGGTGGCCAGCCGCTATACAGTGCACTCTTACAAAGTAGGCCCTCTCTTTTGATATGCTTTATTTCAACCTTATGCTTTTAGTAATAATAAGCTCATAAGTCAATATATAACATTCAGGAAAAAAGTTCAAGCCTTTCATGTGGGAATTGAACTCTTCTATTATTGCAAATTTTCCATTTTCGTGACAGAATTTGAGTGGATGCTCTTGAGCTCCGAGCCAATAGATTTTGTCAGCAAGTTGCTCGAGAATCAATGTGGTAGCTCCTTGAAGCACCACTTTTGTGAAAGGTTAACACGCCTGACACTGGCCAATGGCATTGATGGAGACACATGCGCTGGCCACCTGCCATTCGTTATAACCCTGTATTCCTCCATCGATTGAAAGCTGAAGACTGATTGGCAGTTGGATAGTGATTGATTGTAGCCGGGGGCGGGTGTTTGAAGAAGATTCATCGATGCGACATCACCTATACTTCACCTTCTAGAAGAATGCAAGTTCAAGCATCTTTTAGCTTTGACAAAGATATACTGTCTTAAAACCCTTGTCCTGCGGGACCCATATATATATGGGTTGCACATACAGTACCATCTATGATAGCGCCCCGTATATGTACTATTTGCGGGTATTTCTCGTGCAACGCATCACACCGCAGCAAAATGCAATGAATGCGGAAGTAACTACGCCACCGCAGGGCAAAACAAGTCAAGTGCCTGTGACCTGATTAAAACATGAAATTATATTGTGTAAAAATTGCCAGCAGGACAAGGGTTAAATTGTAACTTTAGGCAGTTGTTTTCAAATATGTACCTTGCTTGCTTGCACATCCTACAATTTTTAGGTGTTGAAGCGAGTCACCTTGGTGTCCTTAACTCTAGAAATCTCCATAGGGCTAAAACTGTGTTCTAGTACAGTCTTGATCTTTGATTACTTGTTCTCAAGGTTAATACAAGGATAAAGTGCTGTCAACATCGTGGCTTGGTCAAGGTCGTCTAAGTATAACTTCCGCACATTGATCGTATTTCAATGGATCTTAGATGTTAAATGAATCATAATACTGTAAATCACTTTATGTTCACAGTAGCAAAAGTTCACAGTCTGAGAAAAATGGACATGTTCACGGAACTATATTTTCATGGTTGCGACAGTTGCAGGAAAAATATAGTCCAGGAATTATTTGTTAACTGTAATGATAAGTTCACGGTATAGAAGTGACAGTGAAAACTGTGAGCATAAAAGTACTGTGAAAAAATCAGGAATTACAGTAGTCATTATTGTATGATAGTACATGTAGTTCTACTGTACTGCAAAATTGTTTGAACTGCTGGCTTTAAACACAGAAGAAAAAAACGCCCTTTCCCTTCAACTGTAGTGTAGACTCGAATAAACCCATCGCAAAGATAAATACACCTACAGTACATGTACCTTACCGAACACTGCCTAAAATAATGTGTCCAAGAAAACAAGTGTCAGAAGTCATTAAGATTACATTTTTGTAGACAATTTGAAAGTCTAACTCCATGTTGTTACAAGGATGAAATAGAAAAGTTTTCACATGTTTGATTGGAACCAAAAGGTGCCCAATTTTGTCTTGTGAGATCTAATGTCTTGAAAAATGAAACTGAGAATGATTCTTGACAATTGAACATCTATAACTGTCACCAATTCTAATGCAACTGTTTTTCATCAATTTTTCTCAAAGGTCAATAATATAAAAACATCCGTCATATTGGAAACAATTATTTGATATCTTGTCTTGTTTAAAGTAATTATGTCAAGACTTCCCCAAGGATTTTTACATTTAGTATCAGAATTAATTTGTTGCAAACCTTCTTGGTAACAATTTTCACTCGTGGTTATACTGTGAGGCTGCACAATTTATTTCCATGTCTTTTTGCTATTTTTTTTAGATATAATTTCACAGTGTGCTAGAAGTAAAACTTGTATCTGACAACTGGAAATAATTTCTGTATGATTGTGTATCTGTCTAGCTGGTATTGGAGTACTGCTTCTTGCCGCTATATATAGCCAATGTAGGTGGCGCTTTTGTGACAAAAACACCCAGTGATGAACTAGGACGAGGGGGGATACAAACTTAGCCATGTTTGGGGTTGGGTTCTTGCTGCAAAAGCACCACCTACATTGGCAGAAGCAGAACTCCAGTCAGAAGCTCTGAGGAAGATGTCTGATAGACAAAGAATTATAAGCAGGTGAGAGATCTATAGACATGGACTGATGCATTACTGGTTGCCCAAAAGAAAATATATCTGACTATATTCATTCCTTAAAAGAGAGTAAAATGAGACAGCCTTTTTCTTAGAGTTATACTCTTTTTTTCATATAATATCCAGTTCAGTATTACTTTTCAAATTTGATAACCATTAGATTATATTACTGTATTACTTGTTCCAATTAACAGATTCATATCAAATGTATAAGTATTTTGAGAAGCATCATGAATGTAGTGCCCTGTTACAACTCCATTTCAGCATAATAGAAAACTAGACAAGAAACGACACAAAGAAACAATATCCGCAAATAATAAGTCAGCGAAAGATGAGAAGGATTCTGATTGGTTATGGGGGTGTTGCCGAATGGTTATGAGTCACAAAGAGGTCGCTACAACTGCCCCGACCTTGCACCTAATCACAGAGAGGATTCTGGGAACATTGCCAAGGTCACGACCTTGTATTCCCGAGGGGAATGTACATTTGTATCCCCGGAAGCCTGAGGTGTAAAGTGACAATGTAGAACAGGTTTTCGGTGACATTATAGATCGTTCTGCCCAGTATACTTGTTGAGTGTTAGCTTTTGATAAGGTTTTGTGTGTAAAAGGGGAAATTTAGTCATAATTATTGGAAAGGAAGTGCAATTTTTCAGTCATCGACACTCTATTAAACCAAAGGGCAAAGAAATTGGTTGAAATGTTATATTTTATTAATGATAATAAAGTTGTTTGATTGGAAGGTAGTATGTAGGTTTAGATGCTTGTTCAGATCATTGTTCACATACATAGTTTTGTAACTTAGGTTACTTACAAGTTACATAGATGTCTACCATGGGCAAAATTCAGGATTTGGCTTTTGATATCAAAGAAAAGTGTACTTGTCATGGGATTGCAAAAAAAAACATCAGTAGAATTCCAAAATTTCCTATGTCTTGGTTGATTCTTGGTTAAATGATGAGACTCTTCATGCCAAAACATAGTTTTGATGATTTTTTTCTAAATATAGAAAAATTTTCTTACTGAGGAAAAATGAATGGAGTAAAATGATTATAAGATTCTTTAACAATGCCTTTGAAGGATGACTTGATCCTCAGAAGGTCAGACAGAGGTCAAACAGCACCCCAGGGAATTCTGGGAATGACCGTCATCTCCTCTCTGATTGGATCAATATTTGGTAGTTTGAAATAATCAAGGTAAGGTGCAATTGGAGCATGTTGAGTGATGGGAAGATTACGGCAGTTCGTTAACCCTAGGCTCTTAGGATCCCGAACAGGAAATAAAGTCGAAAAATGGCGGGAGTGACTGAATTAGAGTGATTCTCACCCAATAATGTGTGGCCTGAAGTTGGAGCCATTCAATCCAGTACGCAATGAAGCCTAGTTTAGGCCACGCCAATTTAATTTCTTGGGTAACAGATTCGCCCGCTTCATTTTTTTCTGATTTG